GGCCGCGGCCGCGGCGGGAGGCGAGACGGAAGAGCCGGTGCTCAGCAGGGACGAGGACTCGGAGGAGGACGGCGACTCGGAGGCGGAGCGCGAGACGCGACGTGTGACGGCCGTGGCGGTGATGGCGGCCGAGCCCGGGCACATGGACATGGGCGCTGAGGCCCTGCCGGGCCCCGACGAGGCCGCCGCTGCCGCCGCCTTCGCAGGCAAGTGCCGGCTCGCGCTCCCGCTTCCTGCATGACCAGGTCCGCACACCTGTCCCGCCTGACCAGCGCCGCCCCTCCTGCCTGCACACCTGTCCTCCGTGCAAGCCCCGCCCCTTCTGCCTGCTCACCTGTTCCGCACATCCACACACCTGCCTCGAGTGACCAGCCCTGCCTGCACACTTGGCCTGCACGCCTCTCCTGCGCACCTGTCCTTCATGACGAGCCCGCCCCTTCTGCCTGCACACCTATCCCACGTGACCAGCCCTGACTCTTCCTACCTGCACACCTGTCCTTCGTGACGAGCCCGCTCCTTCTGCCTGCACACCTGTCCCGCACAGCCAGCCTCTCATGACAAGCCCCACCCTCTCTTGCTCACACCTGCTCCACACACTTGTCCCATGTGATCAGGCCCACCCTGTCCTGCCTGCACACCTGCCCGCACCCCTACCCTGCACAACCAGCCCAGCCCTGTCCTGCTTGCACACCTCCCTGCACCCTTCCACTTGTGTCCAGCTCTGCTCCTCTTGTCCTACCCTTCACTGTGTGTCTATTCTGGAACCTTCTTAACACCAGGCTCTTGCCCTACCCATGCTCTCGTCCATGCATCCTGGGTGGTGGTGACACAAGAGGCTCAGGTGTGGGTCCTGCCCTAGAGGAGCCTGAGGGCGGGTGAGGGGGCGTGGGTTCATCACTGGTCACCGAGAATGTCCCAAGAGCTGAGGGCAGTTCAGGTGGGACCCCGCATGCTCTGAGGAGCCGCCTCCTCTCCCACCAGGAACTTCCCTAGTAAGCATCACAGCCCTTCTGGTGGAAGGCAACCACGCGCCCACACTGCGTGCCCACACTGTGTGCGTTTACTGGCACTTGAGCTGTGTTCACTCCCTTGGGAGCGTGCCACCTGACCAGCTGCTGCCCTGGAGACATGGTTCTTGTTAGGAGCTTAGCTGGCTTGAGAGCTGGACAGTGGCCCTGGGTCCTGGCCCTGGTGTGGGGCTGAGCTTGACAGTGGCTCTGGGTCCTGGCCCCAATGTGGGGCTGAGCTGGGCAGTGGCCCTGGGTCCTGACACCAGTGTGGGGCTGAGCTGAACAGTGGATCTCAGTCCTGGCCCCGGTTTAGGGCTGAGCTGGACAGTGGCCCTGGGTCCTGGCCGTGGCATGAGGCTGAGCAGGTGTAGATTAGCGTGTTCACCAATGGGCATTTGCTCAGTCCCGCGGTGTGCCTGACCCGCCCCTGTACCTCTAGTGTGTGCAGGGCCTGGTGAGGAGCCCTTGTGACCGTGAGCGAAGGGTTTGGGGCTCTGGTGAAGCACCGGGTCATGTAACTCCCAGATGTAAGTAACTCTGAGGACGTTGTCTCTCCAAGACCTCCTCACCCGGGAAGAGTGGTGTGAGCTATCCTTAGACGTGACCTTATGTTCCGACTGTGCCCACCACTCCACCCTGGCTCTCTCGAGCCCGACCACGCCGTAGGCTGGAGCTTGGTGCCAGCCGCGAGGTGGGTGAGCTGCGTCTGGCTGTGGAAACAGACAGGCCGACAGATAGTTTCAGCGCAGTTTAGTAAGTGCTGGGTTAATAGCACGTGCAGGATTCATTCAACCAGTGTGTTTTGAGCACCTACTCCGTGCCAGGGTCCCTCCTAGGCACAGAGCATTCTAGAATGTTGGCCTGGAGGCTTGGGGAAAGGCATCCCAAAGGGGCCTGAGCCCAGTGGTGGAAGCATCAGGAATGGTCAGTGCAGGTGAGGGAGGCTGGAGCTGTCTCTGTGGGACCCTGGTGGCTGAGCTGTCCCATCCCTCTGGAGTGTGGAGTGTGAGGGAGCATGGTGAGAGGTGAGGTGGGGGTGGCCGCTCCCTTCCCCATCCAGGGAGGAGGGCAGGAGAGGCAGGGCCTGGTGGGGGGTGAGGGGCGGGGGGCCTGCTGGGGTTGACCTGAGTGAGCGAGTCCAGGTCTCCCACTGGGCAGGCGGGAGCAGGAACTCTATGCTGGGGACGCTGTCAGTTTTCTTCCAGAGCTGAGTGGTGAGGGACACCGAACTCACCTGTAGGGTTCACTAGCTGTTTGCAGTTGGTGGGTTTTTAGGGAAGGAGAGAGAAGCAAAGTGGTGGTTGGTGGAGCCCATGGATCCTCAGGGGCAGCGCAGACGGCTGCTCCTGCCCACCCTTGCTGGGGAAGAGAGTCTTGCCTTCCTCGGGGAAGCGTAGATTGCTTAAATTTCAGAGAGTCTTGTCTTCCTCTGGGAAGCATAGATTGCTTAGATTTCAGAGAGTCTTGTCTTCCTCTGGGAAGCGTAGATTGCTTGGATTTCAGAGAGTCTTGTCCTCCTCTGGGAAGCGTAGATTGCT